GCCCGGCCCAGCAATTCCTGATAGAGTACACAAACGCCCTTTCAATGGTGTTCCCCCTCACGCTGAAGACTGGAGCACTGCCGCACTATCTTCCTCTCCCCGCCAAGCTCGGCCACCATTCCGAGTGAAGTGGACGCCCACAGGAATGACCCACCGAGCTGCCGTCCGGTCTCCTGGCTACTCTGAATCTTGGCGCCACCTGACTCTGTGCTACTCCCGAGAGATATCCATACACCCACCTCCCAGCCTGGGACTTCCTACCTTTCCAGCTTCCTAGTTCAAGTTACTCCCATTAAAGCTATTCTTTAGCTTAGAGGAAACCAATCTTTGTTCTCCGGGCCCATCTACTTTTATCCTGTCGTTCTCTCCTCAGCTGGTCTTCACTTCCTTCCGACCGTTTTAGATTCTGTGGTCCATTATTTACCATGCTTATCAGAATCTTTGATGGTTGTGTTTCGTTTTCCTTTCAACTCACCTACGTATCAAAATCCTAACTCCAAATCAGCCACATTGTCCACCTTCCCTACCAGTAACACCTGCATGCTGAGTGCAGAGTATCACATAACATTCTAGACCTTTGTTGTAAGTTACGGTTCTCAATTTCAACCCAGACCCTCAGCCTACCAAACAACCCTTGTTTTCCTAGACAATTCATTCTCCCCTTCTTGAAAACAGATATTGGATTGAATCATTTGAAATTAATCTTTTTTTTTCTTTTTCAAGTCAAAAAGAAGTAATTATCAGCAATTTCATAGGGTTCAGCCTAATACTTCAGAAGTTCCCCATTTAAGCCTCTGGTTCTATCACCTCCTCCCTCCCTCACAACAGGTAAATTGGCCTCCTGCTTTACAGAAATGACATAAATCATCAGACTCCAAAGTCTTACCACCAAAACCCCAAACTCAGCGGCACACACGCAGACCCTGCCTCTTTCCTGTCTCCTTCCTCAGGGTCAGTCTCTATACCTCTTTGCTACCTCATATTCCCTCCCTGCTTTCCATCTTCTCAGGGACCTCACTTATCAATAAATCTCTCTGTCCTTCAACTGTATTTTCACATTCTTCCTGTCAAATATTCTCTTAATCAGTAAACACATTTCAATCTACTTTAAAACAAAATTAAACAGAACAAAAGGCTCTCCTCAATCGCCGGTTCCCCTCAACTACTGCCCTATCTCCATCCTCCTTCCCTTTATGGGGAGTGAACTCCTAAGGCTGTATAATCTGGCCTTCATGCCTATGCCTCCCCTGAAATTGTTGTTTACAAAACCATAAATGATAAGGGCCCTTACCAGTCCTTATCTTACTTGATCTCAGCAGCATTTAGCACTGAAGACCATTCCCCTCTTCAGAAAAATTGACTCCTTTCTTTACTTGTTCTTATACCATGCATTCTCAATGGGGTGGTATCGCCCCCATGAGGATGAAACCTGGTTCTTAAGGTGCCCCAAAACTTACTCTTTTTATGTACAAAGCACACATACATATATCATAAGTCAACAGATACACAGCCTATCTGTGGTATTAAAATTTCATGAAGGGGATGACGGGGAAAAAGTGTCTCAAAGTCTTCTTAAGGTGGTAATAATGACCAAAAGGTTAGAAACAAGGCCACATATCCATCACCCAACTTCAACAATTTCCAATTTCCCCATCCCCTTCCCCATTTTTATTACTGACTTTATTGTTAAGAGTATTTCAAAGCCAATACCAGACATCTTATTTCACCTGCAAATAGTTCAGAATTTATGTCCAATAAATAAGGGCTTGTAAAAAACCTTAATCAGACCTAACAAAATTGATAATAATTCTTTAACATCATCTAATACCCACTTTGCATTTAATATTTAAATATTCCTGATTGTTTAAAAAATGTCTTTTTCCAGTTGGTTTGTTTGATCAGGATCCAAAAAAAGGTTCATACAGTACATGTGGCCAAGTCTCTTAATCTGTAATAGCTTGGGTCATACGTGCCACAGAATTCCCCACTTCTGGTTTTCTATACTCCGTATCCCCTCTGAATTTAGAAGGACTAGAGACCTGAGTCAGGTTTACTTACGTTGGCAGACTACTTCAGAGATGGCACCGTATTTCCCCTGGCATCACATCCGCAGACGCTTCGTGCCTGACTGTCCACTTCTAGTAACGCTAAGGCTCATCGGTGAGTCCAGCATGACCCATTCATTATAAAGTCCCCTGTCAACCTTTCACCTAAAGCTTTGGTAATTTCTCCTGTTTGGAATAATCCTTTTCACAGGCTAGTGAAACGGTTTTGCTCTGCTCTCTGGCTACTCCGCCGGAATCGCCTTCCCTTGCCCAGCCTCTGAGTATTGGTGCTCCCTCAGGGACTCTCATCTCATCTCACCCTCTCTCCTAGGCTTGAACTGCTACATGCTGAAGCTCCCAAATTACCATCCCAGGTGTCTCTGAGGCTCTCATCATTCATGTGCCTGCTGGACAACTCAGAACGTCTGAAATCTGAACACGTTATCTTTCCCTTCAAACCCATGACTATTCTTTGTTCCTTCTCTAAAGTGAAAGGTATCACCAATAACCTAGTTTTTTAAACCAGACATCTGGGCCTGATTCATAACTCATTCTTTCTTGCTAATTCCAATTTGTCACCAAGTTCTGCTGAGCCTCTTACACAGCTCTCCAATATATTAAGTCTTTCTAGCCCCACTGCCAGTATCCTAGTTTAGGTCACCAACATCTTGGATTAACACAACATCCTCCTAACAGATTTCTCTGCCTCTTGAGGGCAACATATTCACATTCTACATGCCAGATCCTTCTAAAATACCTGTATGATCACCTCACTCACCTGTATATATTACCCATCCACAGTGCTCCACTACTCTTATAAGAAAGTTCAAAACTCTCT